TCCTCAAAATTCTTATTGTAATTCGTGAATAATTTTGGGTACCTTTCTTGAATCTTCTTCTTGGGTTCCCATGTTATTTCTTCAATATCATGGTGTCTTCAAAGTATCTTAACCAATGGAATTTCTTTATTCTTTAAGACTTTGATTTTCCAATCCAATATCTTTATTGGTTTCTCTTCAAGGGAGATTATCCTATAACTCCAACTTCTCGTGTTGTATAACATGCTTGGCATCATGGTGATATTTTTTTAACCTGGAAAATGTCATGCATTTTGCACAAATGAATCGGCAAGTGTAGCCAAGATGTCACTTTCCCTACTTGTCGTAATATTTCAAAGGATCCCACATGTCTTAGACTTAATTTTTCACCTTTTTTTGTGTCTAATTTCTCCTTTATAAGTTGATACTTTTAGAAATACTTGATCCCCCACTTCAAACTCCAACTCTTTCCTTTGGTTATCTGCATAAGTCTTTTGTCAACTTTGAGCCATTTTCATTCTTTGTTTATTAGTTTCACCTTTTCAGAGGCTTCATCTGCCTAAGGTACATCATTCGATTCAATGATTTTCCTCTCAACTTCAACCCAATAAACTGGTGATCGGCATTTTCTTCAATATAAGGCTTCATAAGGAACCATTCCGATTGAAGAATGGTAGCTGTCACTATAGGCAAACTCTATTGGTATAAGGTGTTGATCTCAATTTCTCCTAAAGTCCAAAACACATGATCGGAGCATGTTGTCAAGAGTTTGGATCTATCCATTAGTTTGTGGATGAGCAATAGTGCTAAAGTTCAACTTAGTACCCAATGCCTCTTGCAATTGCCGCCACAACCACAAGACAAATTAGGAATCTCGATTAGAGATAATACTCACTGGTATTCCATGTAGCCACACAATTTCATCCAAATATAGTCTTGCCAATTTTTCAAGTGTGTATCACATGTTTATAGGTAAAAAGCGTATTTAGTAAGTCTGTCAATGATGACCCATATTACATTATGACCTCTTTGAATTCTAAGTAACTCCGATACGAAATTCATTGTTACATGTTCCCATTTTCACGCTGGCATGTTTAAGGATTGAAGTAATCCTCATGGCTTCTGATGCTCTAATTTAACTAGCTGACAAGTCAGACAAGTTGAGACAAATTGAGCAATATTTTTCTTCATATTACCCCGACAATACAACTATCTTAGATCATGATACACCTTATTGATACCCGGGTGAATGGTATATCTTGACCGACGCACTTCTTCAAGTACTTCCTCAAACCATCATTCCTTAGCACATATATCCTGTTCTGGAACCTCAATACTTCTTTCGATCCAATACTAAAATTCAGTAAGTCCTCTTTCTGAGCCCTTTCTCGACGATTTCGTAAGATGGGATTTTGTTCTTCAACTTCGTTAATCCATAATAACAAAGGTGGTTGAATAGTGATATTACCAAATATATTAATCTTCCCAGAACTGGTCTTAGGTTTTACTCGCATGCATTTTCAGGCAGTTCCTACTCTATAACCATTAGTCTGGCCACCTGTGCTCTTCTACTTAGTGCATCTATGACAATGTTAGCCTTTCTAGGGTGATAATTGATCACTTGTCACGAGTGTCAAAGTTTAATTATTGAATTCCCAAAATTTTAGTAGTTGGAGTCTAGTCGAACCCATAGGGAACAGTGAAAACTTTTAAATCCGTTTGGATTAATTTTTTTGGGGGTGTTTTTGAAATATATTACTATAACAATGTATATGAAAAATTTTTATGGGTAAATATTTTTGATGATTTTTTGGAATATATTTTGAAATAGGAAAAATTGTAATTTTGGTCCCCAATCTATAGTGTATGCGCGGAATTATCCCCAATCTAATTCGAAAATCAATTTTGGTCCCCAATCTATTCAATTTTGTGCTAAAGTGGACAATTGACAGAATCTCTTTAATTTCAATCGGAACTAAATCACGTGAGATCACGTGCCGGCAGCTAAAACCCATTTTTCAATTTTTTAATTTCTAAAACACGTTTTTTCTAGTGGCTTGGCTTTTGGCATGGACACTCATATCCCTTCAGCTAGATCAATCTCCTCCTCGCCAATTCTTTTCCAATCAAAAATTTGAATTAGAAATCCCAAGGCCAAACCCACCACCCGCTATGCTAGGCCAGAACCAGGGCAAGATCTCCTTCCCATCCCAAATGGAATCAGTTTTGATGGCTGAACTTGCAATCCTTCGAATCTCTCTGGCTTGAAGCTTGTTGGATCATCCCAAACGTTTGGGTCCCTGTGAATTGCCCATGCATTAACTAGCAAAATTGTGCCTCGCGGAATGTTATATCCCCCAATTTTACAGTCATCGGACAACTCATGTGGCACTAGCATTGGTGCTGCTGGGTACAACCAAAGTTTTTCTGAAATAATGTTATGAAGATAAGAAAGATTAGATAGACCATGTTCGTCGACCAATCGATCAGTCCTTACTTGAGCATCCAATTCAGCTCGAGCTTTCTCTAGCACCTCGAGATGGTTGAGCAAAAGAGACAAGGCCCATTCTATAGTTACCAATGAAGTGTTTGTTCCAGCCGTAAGCATGACCTACCAATAATATACTAGTGGTTCAATTGAATGCTCATTCCAGTTCAACGGTAAAGAATGGCTAATAAGGAAAGAATATACTTACCAATATAATCCCATTGATGATTTGGTCCGTATAATCCATTTGATTTCCAATTATTATCTTCCGCTCTTCTCTCTCGGCTGCTTGCTTGCTTATGAAGTAGTACTACTGCTGCTGCTGCTGCTGTTTGTGCAGGAGAGTTGAACTGAGTCCGTCTCTGGCATTGGTTGCAGATTATCTCCATTACTAATGGAGGCAAGAACGGGACTTGGACTTGAAGGCCAAGCTGAGCTTCTTACTCGTGCTGTGGGTTCTAGGGATTCGAAGGCGGCGGCCAACAAGAGGAGTAATTTGGATTGTGAGATTATCCCTTTCATATCTTTGTTTAATAAGACAAAAGGCAAGAGAAAACTGAAAATATTAAAAAATGTGTTTTAGAAGTTAAAAAAATTGAAAAAAGGGGTTTGAGCTGCCAGCACGTGATCTCACGTGACTTAGTTCCGATTAAAATTGAAGAGATTCCGTCAATTGTCCACTTTAGCGCAAAATTGAATAGATTGGGGACCAAAATTGGATTTCGAAATAGATTGGGGATAATTTCGCGCATACACTATAGATTGGGGTCAAAATTACAATTATCCCTTTGAAATATATTTAAAGTTTAAACATTTTTAGGACATTTTTTAAAAAAATTAACACCACCACTCATCACCGCCATCATCATCTCCCTCTTCCTACAAGAGGCCTCGATCTGGTCGAGATCAAATCGGGGAAGGAGAAGGGAAGGAGTGGGGTGGGTGTAGCAGGGAAGGGAAGGGGAAGAAAGGAAGATGTTAGCATAAAAAATTACATGCACAACTAAAATAATTTTGACACATGTAAAATACGAGGGAAGAGGAGGAGAATAAACACACAGCAATAACTTAATAATTTATTAACCCAAAACTCAATAATAACAAATATCTAGTTGTAACTTTTCGTTCACGACAGCTCACAAATCTCAACTATAATACCTTCGCTCAAACTTAATCTCAAGACTCAACTCAACTTTTCAACTCACCTCTTCAAATAATAACTTACTAGATTGGCCGTATTTATAAACTCTAAAACTTCCTAAAATAAATACAATTGTAAATCAAAACTTATCTGAAAACTGACTTGAGATTTCCTTATCTAATATGGAAACTAAACAAACAGTAACACTAAAAAGAATTAGAAAACTAAATATAGTTTGGTTTAATTTCTTTCAGAGGAGAAATGAGAGGGAGGGAGAGGAAAGAGGAGAAAGGAGGGGATGGTGGCAGTGGTAGGTGGGGGGTTGGTGTGGTGGGTGAATGAAAAAGATGGTGTAGATTTTATTTTTTTAATTTTTAAATATATTTAGAGTTGTTTTTGATATATTGTATGAATGTGACATTTTTAAAGTTGTTTTTGTTTGTATATTAGTATAGTACTGTATATGAGAAACTTGTTTTTCAAAAAATGGAAGGTATTGTTCTGCGCCTGAGTCATCTTTTTGTATAGGTATTGTTCTTTTTGGTTCTTTAAAAAAGCATATTCATTCTTTAGTTTTCTAAAGTAGTTTCTACCGTAATAGGGGTCTGAAAATTTTGTAATCTTGCATGTGCAGTTGAGAGTAAACTAGAATAGTTTGGGGGAATAATCTCCATGCTAATTTGTTGCTGACATGCAATAGAATCAAAGTCGGCAACTGGTATTGTATAGTGAAATAGACAAATCGTCCTTCAAAAAAAAAAAGACAAATCGTAGTGTTATTATTCTTCAAACTACATGTAACAACTAACAACAACCTTTGCCTTGTCGTATACACAAATAAATGTTTTTTTACTCAACCAAGAATTATTAGCAATGTACAGTAGAATATTCAATTGTGTACAAAGAAAATTTTGGATTAATGTGTTTAATACGCAAAGTTTTAGGTAATTATTTTTATTGTTGACAAACGTTTTCCATAGCCACAACAAGGCGTTCCTCTCTCTCCGCAAACCCAATGGCTGCTTCCTCCTCCTCAGCGCTGTCATCTACACAACCACCCCCTCCTCATCCGCCTTTCCTGTCTCCATTTCCTCTGCACCTTGGCATTCCGCACCAAGATGGAAACCCCTAACCCCCCAAAATTACTGCCTCACCAATCACCGGAAAAAAAAAGGTAGAAAGAAACGGAGCTTGGGAAGAAAGCCGAAGGAGACTCTGTTGTCTTCAATATTAAATTTTTCAAATGGTAAATTAAATTATGGACCGCTCTGTTGTCTTCAGTACTTCACGTGGTCTACAGATGAGACCGCAGACCCTATGCTATAAATCCACATCCTACACCCTTGATTGGAGCAGATGAGATCGGACTATTCTCAATACACTAAATATCGAGCTAGAGCTGCAAAATCCGTCTAGTTCAATTTCATGGATAACCCAAAGTTGCAAAACCTTCCTGTCATCAACTTCGACCAGGAGAATTTGCAGCATGGCACAGAAAGCTGGTCCTTGGCACGCAACAAAGTCCGCCACGCTCTTGAAGAGTACGGTTGCTTTCTTGCTGTGTATGATGCAGTTTCTTTCAAGTTGAGGGATTCAGTATTTTCTGCGCTAGAAAAACTGTTCGATCTTCCCGTGGAAACAAAAAAGAAGAACACTTCTGATAGGCTTTTTTTTGGTTATTTTAGCAACGACCGTGACCCATCTATTCATGAGAGCTTGGGAATCGAAAATTCAACCAACATGGAAGAAGTCAAGAAATTCTCTGAGCTCATGTGGCCCCAAGGAAATGATGACAATTTCAGGTACAACTTGATTTATCCTCATCTTATCAATTGTTACGAGTAAATCCAACAATTAATTAGCGCGCAATGTATTGATCCCAAATCAATTGAACCTTCAATTTGTTTCCTTTCATGAATAATTGTTAGTGGGATCATCCATGAATATGCAAATCTGGTGGCGAAGTTGGAACAAGTGGTGACTCGAATGGTTTTCGAAAGCTATGGGGTAGAGAAGCTGAAGTGTGATTCTCACATAGATTCAATCACGTACTTGCTTCGGTTCAACAGCTACGAGGCGCCTGGAGTAGACGAGAAAACCGTGATTGCTCCCCCTCATACTGATAAGAGCCTCATCACAATTCTTACTCCGAGTCAAGTTAATGGATTGGAGGTAAACTTGAAGGATGAGCAATGGATCCCTGTTGATTTCTTGCCTTCATCATTTATTGTTATGGCAGCAGATGCATTAATGGTAGGTTACATTACATCTCTTCCTTTTCTTGAATTTAATAACTAAAAGTAGGAATTTTGACAATAGGAATCCACTGGCGTGACTTTTAGGGTGTCAGTAGTGTTCATGGTTTCTTATCAAATTCCAACAACTAGTGGTAAATGGTAAGGGTTTCATGTGAATTTATACTACTTGATTTTTTACCTATCATTTGAGTAACTTATTTAGCAGTATTTGCTTAGAAGGATTTTTTTTTTATTTTTTGGTGGCTAATTTTTGCTTGCCCCTACTGAAAAATATTTTTAGCTCCGTCACTGGGTGAAAAGAGTCTCAAACCAGAGTTTGGGTTGGGAGCAAAATTAAATAAATTGAAGAAACATTTTTAAAATGCAAGGTGAAATCATTCTCAGTATAATAAACAAAACACTTGCATTCCACAAGAAAGAGGAAAAACAAAAACAAGAATAAGGATGCGATCTCATGTCACGTGAACATGTATACCAATTGACCCCCTCATTGTAGAAACGACAATTGTTCTCTAGCAGAATAACTTTTATATTTGTTTTCTCAAATGATTTTGATATAGTTATTCCTTTTGTCCTCTATAATTTTTTTTTTAAAAAAAATTAATCTATGTTTGTTTGTCCTCTAGAAAGCATCTTTATTTTTTTTTAAAAACAAAAATCTAGATAATCAATCTATTTTTGCAGGCATGGAGCAACGACAGAATACGACCTTGTCTTCATCGAGTTCATATGAACGCGAACGCAAGAAGATCCTCAGTGTTGATGCTCTCTTACCATAAGGGGGTCCTGCACATCCCTCAGGAGTTGATTGATGAGGAAAATCCACAGCGCTATAAGCCATTTGATCACCTGGGATACCATAGTTTCTTAAAGAAAGAAGTGCAAACGGGCCAGCACGTTCAATGTGATGCCATCAAGAGATATTGCGGTGTTTGAAGTATCATGATTCTTTAGAGGGATCTCTTGTACGCATGCTGCGGATCATGATAAGGCATGCATATCTTAGCTAAACTATGCAATCATTTTCTCTCTTCATATGCATTATTACTAGTACTTCATTAACCTTCCAGTATTTGAATACCAGACATCAATTTCCCTTCAAATCAAGAGAATCCTTCAGTACAAGTAAATTATATTTGGCCGTAATAAGCCCCACTAATTCTAGTCCATTAATGGTGACGCGAACTCTTTTCAACTATATTTCGTACTAAAAATGGGTCTACAAAAGGATTCAAAACTAAATACATTTATGTACCATTCTTAATTTTTGAGTCCAAGCAGGGAGTAAAATGAAATAATCATATCCACTTTGGGCTGGTCTGCTGTCGTAGGACACTCAGACATTAGTGCAGACGCCGGGCCGATGGACGAGTGGCTGCATACGCACGAGTGCTCAATAGACGAATAATTCAATGCTACGACGAAGTAAATTTCCTATATCGATCAAATGTTGAATTATATCAGGCTATGTAACTCCAATTACGACATTACCAATTACTGGAGCACAGAAGTGCGCACGCTACAAGAAGTGGGTAACAAAAGGATTTGTTAGACAATCCTGTCAACCTTATGATCATCTCGACCATCTATCATCTTCCCCCTCAAACCGACGGAGAGCAGGTGAAACAATTTATTAGTTCTGATCTTTAAAATCTTGCGAGCTTGCTAGTCTTGACTCTTGAGCAAGTTGATCTTAGTCATCAACTCAATTATTTGCAAACCTGTGCTGAACCAGGACAGATGATGCTATAGATGTACATTATGGAAAACAAAAAAAGTGCCTAAAATCCGGTGGAGTTATAGATATAATTGAGTAGACTTTGATTAGTGTATATCCCAAGAAAAGGGAGGGGGGTAAGGGGTTGTACATGATATATCAGATGTTATGGCTACGATTGCCCGTTTTCCACTGAATTAGTAAATACTTGCATAAACTGTAACTTAAACTCACCTTCCCTGCGTCAAATTCTTTGCACGAGCTGCTCTAGGTTACCAACATGATTTGTGATAACATCTCATAGAATTTAATAAACCATATGGGTCATAATTAGAGGCAATCATGACTAAAGACAAGCCAAGATATTGCGTGGCTCTCCTTTCTTTCAACGAAGGGACAGTGAAAACAACAGAAGCGAGCTGGTGGATGAAGAACACCCTTTACAATTTTAGCCATTTAAGCACATGAGATTAGTCCGTTACCACCTTGCTGGTAAAACTGACATGACTGCAAAGTACTGCTAAAGCCTGCTGTGGAACAACAGCTTGATATAATTACTTCAATTCCGTTGCATGGAGACTTTTCACCACTCATGAATTACCATCAAATTATGAAATCATAAAGTATAGACAACATGCCTAGCCTATGTGTTCCCCCATATATGTTGTAATATTGTTTATATATCTTCTAATATATGTTGTAATATATCTTCATGTAACAAAATGCAAATAATAATAGAAATTTATGCATAAATATATGCTTTATCTGTAGATTGAGTAGACGTGGTTTCACCATCGAAGAAACAGTCCTACAATGCTGAGATTGGTTGGTTTAATAGACACATATAAAGGTCGGAAGTTTATGTAATCATAAATGTCTAGAAGACCAAACGAATAATAATTAACCATACCACCATAAAGGTCGGAAGTTTATGTAATCATAAATGTCTAGAAGACCAAACGAATAATAATTAACCATACCACCATAATACCTGTCACTGAATCAGTTGGATCAGAGGCTCACTTTAATTTTATTCGGTCCAAGGTGGCTATATCCAAAAAAGAAAGAAAAAGAAAATAATTATCATGCGTTCTTCTAGAATACCAAGGTATACTACAGTTAATTAAGTATTTTTATCTTGACATAGCTGTATGAGATGAAACAGGTAAAATGACAGAAAGGAAATTAGAAAAATATAGAAGATAAGTGGTCTAAACAGTCTAAATCACAATTGAAAAATTGATTTGCCAGTTTCTTGCACCGTCTACCATTTGTAAGGTCATACTCAGAAGTGCATGAATAGTTACAGGTAATAAAACTGTGTTATCAATAAACTTTTTTCAGCTGTATCATCGAGAAAATTACTTTTTATATCTATATGCTTTTTTTTCCAACATAATATTCCCTTTTTTATACCTCACAATAGGAGGGCAGAATGTCCTAATCATGTCATCAAGTAAAGTTAGTGCCCGAAACTATAAAATTCTTATCTTTTTTTTTTATCAATATGATTAACGTTACTTAGTGCAAAAAAAAAATTAGTATGATTTGAATTGTTATATCGGCAGATTTATTATGATTGATGGACACTGAATATGTTCATATTTGCAGTAGTTGATGAATATTATTATATTGTAGTAAAAGTATGTAAAGAAGTTTTTGAAAATTGGCATGGTAGTTGAACAATTAGAATACATTAATTTTCTAAAAGTAATATTCATGAATATATAGGAATATTGCTAAACTTTCTGCTTGAGTTATTCCTACTTGTACAAATTCAAAACTAGTAAAAAAAATGTGCTAAGGCATGGGCTAATTACTAGTTAAAATACAAGAAATTCATAAGGAATGTTTCTGTGAGAACCCGAGAAAATTATGTGTATACCTTAAAATTATTTTTATTTTATTTACTTTGATATTAGAAAAATTATACATAACAAATAAACGGTTACCTTAAATGCCTAATTGGACCCCCATAAATTGAGAAGTTAGAAAAAAATAAATAAATTCAACAAGTACATGTCTAATAAGCTTTTCTTAAAGCTAAATGTGTCAAAATCAATGTAAGAAATTTTTAAGGTAAATGCAAATTAGAACACACAAAATTTTGAATCAATGTGTGAGATAATAAAATTACGGACTCTTGGCAAACAAATAAACTAAAATTAAAAAGACCAAACCAACCTTAGACCTTTGGTTAATCTTCCATGCAGCCAAGAAACCAACTAGCGGTACTACATAATCAAACTGAAAGAAGCATAAAACTTGAATAAATTGGAACCGAATGGAAGCCACTTAAGCGGTGGAAAAAAAATAGGAGCTGGCCTTTAGCTTAGGGCGGTGAATAACACCTCAATGACAGCTGCCATTTGTTTGCTACATGAAATGGTGACCAAAGGGGAAAAGGGGACAGCGGTGAAATTGTATGGGCGGTGGCCGAGTGAAGAAATACATTTCATTTCCCTTCTTACCGACCAAGTACTAAGAGCGAGACCGGGAGAGAGAACTCTGCATTTTTTCCTTAGGCAGCAACAACCGAGAGAGAAAACAGAGCATCCGAATAGCTTTCCCATTTCTGCCTTCTTTAACCGACCAAAACTGAGAGCTAAAGTGAAGGATAGGAAGAGAAACTTTGTTAGTTTCTTCACTAATTAGCTTCAACCGAGAGAAAGAGTGAAAGCTGCTGCAATATTAGGAGAAACCTAAGCTACGAGCAGGAGCAATCTGCCGTTATTAAAATTTAACGGAGAAGGTAAGAATCTTGTAACCACCTTTTTATTTCTTGAATATAACTGAAAATATAGGATGCATGTTAGTTTTAGCAAGGAATATTGAGTTTCAACCGAAGGAAAATCTGTTAGAGAGGGAAAATTTTGGAACTGGACTGCAGTGCAGGAACGGGAGTTTATTATCTAATGTTGAAGCCTGTAATTAGTGTAAAATTGGAAACTAATGTGAGAAATGCATGAACTATGGTTATCTCAGGTTTATAAGGGGTTTAGTTGAAGAAACTATGGGAAAAGTTAGATTTTTGGATTGAAACCGAGGGAAGTTATCTGCTGGAAATTTTTTCAGGTTAACCGAGAAGGGGAAAAATGGACAGATTTCTAGCTGTCTTCATGATTTTGGCCTTGAGTTTCTATGTGAAACTGTAATATATATTATATATTAGCTTGGTATGATCATGCATGGAAGATTGATATACAAGTAAAAACACTTTGAAGAGCTTCATGTTGTATAATTAGCCGCTGCATGCGTTTCTTTCAATTTGGCCGAGTAGAAGGCCTGGTTCAGCTATGGTTTCGGCTCCTTGACTGTTCCCTGCAAAACCTTAGCTTCTAAAGCTGACTTACAGAGTTGAAACCTGTACTAATGCCTCTAAACTTTAACCAGAAAAAAAAAAAACAGGAATGAGTAGGAACTAAACTGAGTGATGAAGGGGGGAACAAGTTCACTGATTGCAGGATGTCGGCCGAGGGAATGAAGCAGAATGTGCTTCTGTCCGGCCATTTTTGACCCTGAAAATGTGAGAACTGGGTATCAATATCTTCATAAGAAATGTAGGCCTATATCTTAGCTTTGAAACGCTATAAAATTTGCCTCAATCCGATAAGCGTAACCCTAATTATGATCGTAATACCGGAGGATGGCAAAGCTGCCTTTCTCGTTGCCTTTCATTTTGTTTCCGAATGCACTTTGCTAAGATGCTAGCCGTGAGGAACTAGTTTTAACCAGCATTTCTTCTAATTTCCAACCTGTAAGCTTTCATAAATGATAGCTACGATTGTTCTGAGAATTAACAGCTATACCTAGTTCCATGAGGAGAGTTAAACTAAGACGATTGAGTGAAAAACTCACGATAGTTATATACGTAAAGTGGCCTCTAATTATGTTTTTAACTCACGATAGTTATATACGTAAAGTGGCCTCTAATTATGTACTATGGTCGTCACAAATATTTTAAAGACTATAAAATTTGAGTGACTGGTGTAGTGGAATAAAATCTAATTACCAAATAACCTAGGGATTCATTAATTAAAAAGGGACCAATGGAGTACTTCTAAGCCTTAATTCTAGAATCTTGAGTGGAAAATGATTTAATTCTAAAATAAATATTTTATAAATTATTAACTCGGAAAATACGTATGTATCTTGATTTAAGATAATAAAGTCAAGGAATTTCGAACTAAATTGGAAAATAAATATTGAGTAATAAATATCGCGTATATTTTGCATTTAGTCAAACTTGATTTTAATAGTTTAAACAATAAAATAGAATAAATATTGAATGTATTATAGTTATATTTAAAGCCAAACCTAATTCAAATGATTTAAATAATAGGTAGATAGCAACAAATTGT